GTACCACCCCGGTGCCAGCCCGGTACCACCCCGGTACCACCCCGGTGCCAGCCCGGTGCCAGCCCGGTGCCACCCCCGTGCCAGCCCGGTGCCGGCCCGGTGCCAGCCCGCACTCACCTTGTCCTTGTCCAGGTCCCCGTTCTCCACGGCGCCTTCCTGCTCCTCCCTGAGCGAGGGACACGGGACAGGGATCGTGGGGAGCGGGAAGGCGGAGAGGGAAAAACCCCTGGAAGGGCCCCGGGGAGGGGGGGGGACATGTGGGGACATCCAGGGCTTCACCCCGGCGCATCCACGGGCATTCCCAGGGCTCCGGATCCCTCTGGAATGCTGCTCCAAGCACCGGGGACATCCCCGAGGCCGCCAGCAGCAGGAACACGGGAATGCCACTGCCGGGATCAGGGATCACACTGGGACCGGGGATTTGGGATCGCGCTGGGATCGGGGATCAGGGATCACGCTGGGATCCGGGATGGATCCGGGATGGATCCGGGATGGATCCGGGATGGATAAGGAGTGTTGGTGTCCCCCGGGCCGGGCTCTCCGCTGCCGCCACCCTCGGTGGGTTCGGTGCCGGCTTCAGGGTCCCCTCTGGTCCCAACAATTCCCGGATTCCAGGGGCAGGGGGAGGGTGGGAGCCCCTTCCCGACCCCAGCCCCGGCGCTACCGGGAGCCCCGGGCGATACCGGGAGCCCCCACAGGCGGTACCGGGAGCTCCGGGCGGTACCTGCGGTCGCGGTGGAACTCGATGGACAGACTGACGATCTCATCCTCGGGCAGCGTCCCCTGGTCCCGCTCCGTGACCTCCCCGCGCTCCTCCTGCGAGCCCAGCGGAACTGCGGGACACGGACACTGACACCGGGACACCGCGACACCGGGACAGGGACACCGGGACACGGACACGGGCTGAGCGGGACCCGCGACACCGGGACACCGGGACACTGACACCGGGACAGGGACACCGGGACACCGGGACAGGGACACCGGGGCAGGGACACCGGGACAGGGACACCGGGGCAGGGACACCGACACCGGGACACTGGGACAGGGACACCGGGGCAGGGACACCGGGACCCTGTGACATGTGTCATGTGACACTCACCCTCGGCCACCGGGTACGCGGCGTAGAAGTCGCGCCTCCTCTTCATCTCATCTGCGGGAACGGGACGGGGACGGGGACAGGGACAGGGACAGGGACAGGGACGGGACAGGGACAGGGACGGGGACGGGACAGGGACAGGGACGGGACAGGGACAGGGACAGGGACAGGCCATGGGCAGGGACAGCGCCACAGCCGGGGGGTGACAGCAAGGGGACACAGGGGGACACCCTGCAATGCCCAGGGAATTCCCGTGGGAGCTCCAGCAGAGCGATTCCATAAATCCCGGAGTGGCGGCCGATCCAGAGGATTTCTGGATCCCCACACCCCAAATCCCGAACTTTTCCCCCATCCCGAGGCGCTCGGAGCAAATCCGATCCCAGATTCTGCCGAAGTTTGGGATGGGAGCCATGTCCTCCTGTCCCCGTGGGAATGGGAAATCCCGGGAAGGGGTTCAGGGACACCCCGAATTCCCAAATTGTCCCCATCCTTGGCTGCACCTTTGAAAAGCCCCGGGACCAGCTTGTACACGATGTCCTGGAGGGTTTTGTCCGACCTGGAGGGGCGAAAAACAGGAAAAGTGGGAGAAATCAGCGGGATTTGGGAGCGGGATGTGGGAGTTCCGCCAGCTCCCTTCTGGAAAATTCCTGTCCCAAATCCCAGGTCCCCAGTTCCTCATCCCAAATCCCCCAAACTCCAAATCCCCAAATCCCAAATCCCCAGTTCCTCATCCCAAATCCCCCAAACTCCAAATCCCCAAATCCCCAACTCCTCATCCCAAATCCTCCAAACTCCAAATCCCAAAATCTCCATCCCAAATCCCCAACTCCTCATCCCAAATCCCCCAAATTCCAAATCCCCAAGTCCCCAACTCCTCATCCCAAATTCCCCAAACTCCAAATCCCCAGTTCCCCATCCCAAAGCCTCAGATCTCCAATCCTCCATCCCAAATCCCTAAATTCCCAGTTCCCCATCCCAAATCTCCATCTGAAATCTCCCAAACCCTAAATCCCTAAATTCCCATTTCCCCATCCCAAATCCCCAAATCCCCAAATCCCCAAATCCCTAAATTGCCATTTCCCCATCCCAAATTCCCATTTCCCCATCCCAAATTCCCATTTCCCCATCCCAAATCCCCAAATCCCCAAATCCCCAAATCCCTAAATTCCCATTTCCCCATCCCAAATCCCCAAATCCCCGTCCCACACAGCCCCCCCAGACCCCACAAAGGGTTAACCCCTAAAAAGGACCTAAACGAGCTCAGAAATCCTTGTCAATTCTGGGAATGATTTGGGGCCAGGATCCATCCCAGCAGCCAAAACAATTCCCAAAAAAATCCACCCCGGGGATTTAAACAACCCCAAATCCCAGATCAGCCAAGTCTCCCGCAGGTTTGAATTTGAATCCCGGGTTTTTTTGGGGGATGTAAATTTATTTTTGGGGTTTTGATTCCCTAAAATGTGAATATCCCAAAGCAGGAACGGGGGAAGCTCCAGCCCCATCCACAGCCAGGATTTTCCCGGGAATTTTCAGGAATCTGGAATTTCAGATTCCCACCCTAAAGAGGGAGCAGCGGGGCTGGTGAAAAGTCAATTATGGTTGGAATTATTCCCATTTATGTGGAGAAGGAAAACAAATGTCTGAATTCCGGGATATTTTTAGCCCATCCACGTCTTTCATCCTGAATTCCTTTGGCTCGGGATGCCCCGCTGGGATTTTATTTATAACAAATCTATTTTTATATCATTCTATTCCTCGCTCTGTAAATAAATATATTCACATTTATTTATATCAATTTTATCTATTTATATATATTTTAAATATTTTCATATTTTAATATCCGTATCTACTTCTATTTTCACTTTTTATATTTATACATTTTTTTATTTTTATACATTTCCCAGTTTAAAATTTTATATATTTTTATATTATTATTTTATTTTTTTTTTTCAGGGGGAGGGATTTTTTATTTTTTCTTTTCTAATTCTTACATTATTTTTTTTTACTTATTAACAAATATTTATAACAATTTCACTTCATTCAGCACCGAGCACCGGGAGATTTTGGATGCATTTGGGAAGCAAAGACGCCAGGATTTTCCACCTGGAGTGGGGCCTGCTCACCTGGGCCACATTTTTCCCAGTTTTTCCCAGTTTTTCCCAGTTTTTCTGAAATTTTTCCACACGTGTTTCACAGGGTTTAGGGTGGGGAGCAGGGGGCCCACGCTGGGCAAGGCAGGGCTGGGACACCAGTGGGACCGGGATGGAGGTGCCAGAGGGACAGGGACACCTCAGGGATGGGGACACGACGGGGATGGGGACACCTCAGGGATGGGGACACCTCAGGGACAGGGACACCTCAGGGATGGGGACACCTCAGGGATGGGGACACCTCAGGGATGGGGACACCTCAGGGATGGGGACACGACGGGGATGGGGACACCTCAGGGATGGGGACACGACGGGGATGGGGACACCACAGGGACAGGGACACCTCAGGGACAGGGACACCACAGGGATGGGGACACCTCAGGGACGGGGACACGACGGGGATGGGGACACCTCAGGGACGGGGACACGACGGGGATGGGGACACCACAGGGACTGGAATGGAGGTGTCACAGGGATGGGGACACGACGGGGACAGGGACACCTCAGGGATGGGGACACCACAGGGACAGGGACACCACAGGGATGGGGACACCAGTGGGACCGGGATGGAGGTGCCACAGGGACAGGGACACCACGTGGACGGGGACACCTCAGGGACGGGGACATCGGCGGGACCGGGATGCAGCTGCTCCTGGGCTGGCAGCAGAGCCCCAGGGTGCTCCAGGTGCTCGGGGCTGTCCCCTGGAGCAGGAACAGGGGCCCGTGAGGGGCCCACAAGCCCCCCGAGCCCCCCGAGCCCCCCGAGCCCCCCGAGCCCCCTGAACCCCCCGAGTCCCTCGAGCGTCCTGTGTCCCTGGAGCCCCCCGAGCCCCCTGTGCCCCCCACATCCCCCTGAGCTCCCCGAGCCCCCTGAGCTCCCTGAGCCCCCCGCGCCCCCCGAGCCCCCCGCGCCCCCCGGGCTCACCGGATGCTGAGCAGGGGCCGGGTTTTGTGCACCTGCGCGTCGCACATGGGGCAGTACTTGTTGGTCTCCAGGTAGCGAACGATGCAGGTTTTGCAGACTGCGGGGACAGAGGGACCCTCTGTGAGTGGGGGGGGACGAGGGGACACAGCCTCGGGGACCCCCACACCGGCTTTGGGGACCCCCACACCGGCTTTGGGGAGCAGAGCCCTGCCCAGCGCAGCCCCATCCATCCCCCGCAGCTCCACGGGGCACCGCGGGGTCCGCGTGGGGTTTGGGGGCACCCGGGGGACCCTTGGGGACACGGGGGACACTCACACGAGTGCAGGCACTCCACGATGGTGGTGGCGTCGATGAAGTATCCGCCGCACAGGGCGCACATCAGGTGGGGGTTGAGCTCGGTGATCTTTATCCGGGTGGTCCTGTGCATCTTGGAGCAGCCCCAGGGCGGATCCTCCCTGCGGGAAAAGCCCCGGGATCCCCTTGGAGCGCAGCTGGAGGGGACAGCGTGGGGACTGTCACCTGTCCCCCCGGCTCCAGGAGCTGCGCAGCCCCCTCTGCCTCACCCCTGGGTGTCCCCAGCACGCGGGGACACCTCTGAGCGGGGACACCCGGGGGATTTTGGGGTGGTTCCATGGAAAAGGCATTTCCAGCCCAAATCCCTGGGTTTTTCCTCCCGCTGGGGGCTCGGGAATGCTCCGGCACTTCCCGGGTTCCCGCGGGAGCCGCTGGAATCGCCGCAGTTTTGTTGTTTCCATGGTAACGGCGGTACTTGGACAGCAGGCGGAATATTGTCACCAACAGGCGGGGGACAGGGGACAGGGAACCCCGGGATGGCGGAGATGCCATCGGGATCGTGGGGAGCAGCGTGGGCAGGGCCGGGGCACACACGGGTGGCACAGGGACACAGGGGTGACACACAGGGACACACGGGGACACAGGGGTGACACACGGGGACACAGGTGTGACACACAGGGATACACAGGTGACACACGGGGACACACAGGTGACACACAGAGGCACACATGGGTTACAGTACACGCACACAGGGACACCCGCACCAGGGATGGGGACACCGCTGGCCCTGGGACATGGGTGCCACAGGATGGGGACATCATTGGGACGGAGGTGCCACAGGGACAGGGACACCGCTGACAGTGGGATGGTGACGCTGCAGGGACAGGGACACCACCGAGCCTGGGATTTTGCAGGGGTGGGGACATGGCTGGCACAGGGATGGAGGTGTCACAGGACGGGGACACCGCCAGGATGGGGACACCACCGGGATGGGGACACCACCGGGATGGGGACACCTCAGGGACAGGGACACCACCGGCACGGGGACCTCGGGGACAGCCGCACTGGAGGAGCAGCAGCCAAGGGGGACCGGGGGGGCCCCAGAACCCCCTCCCAGCCCTGGGCACCCCCGCCCGGTGTCCCCAAACCCTCGCCAGCCCCTGCCCGTGGCTGTCCCCGTCCCCCCCGCTCGGGACCGGGCAGCTCCGGGCCCGCGGGAGCCACGGCTGCGCTTTTGGGGCGATTCCGGCGTTTTCGGTGCTCGCAGCCGCCAATGGCGGCCCCGGGGCTCGGCGGGAGGGGGGAGCCCGAGCCACCGGCGCAAACCGGTTCTAATAAATTCTAATAAACCGGGCGATAACGGCCGCGATTTCCTGCAGCGGGAGGGGGAACAAACCCCGGAGCCTCCGCGGATCCCCGGGCCCGCCGCAGCCCCCGGGGCCGCCCCGTCCCGCCGGCTGCTCCCGCACCCCCGGCCGCGACTTTGGGGCTCTTTTGTCTCCGTGGGCGGTGGCCCCGGTGTCCCCCCGGTCCCCAAAGCCCCCCGGGCCGGGCACGGCTGGGCAAGGGCGTTTCAAAGTCACCGCCAACTCGGCCCCCTCCGCCCGCGGCACCGAGCGCGGGGCTCGGGAAATGCCCCGGGACGGCTCCACCGGCACGGCCCGGGGGACACGGGGGGACACCGGAGGGGGACACGGGGGGACACCCGAGGGGACACGGGGGGACACCGGAGGGACACCGGGGGACAGCCCCGGAGCGCGGCCCCGCCACCCCCGGCACTCCCGGTGTGCGGGACGCGGCACCGGAGGGGCCACGGGGGATGGGGGGAGCCCCGCTGGACACGAGTGACCGCGGAGCGGGTGGGGACAAGGACACGCGGGGCCGGCCCCGGAACCGGCGGCGGGACGGGACACGCGGGGGGGGTGACCGGGCACGGGGTGGTCACTGACCCGCGGGGGACAGGGACACCGGGGGGGGACACTGACCCACGGGGTGGACACTGACACCGGGGGGGACACGGGCACCGGGGGGGGGGACACGGACACCGGGGGGGGACCCGGCCACAGGGTGGTGGCGGCCACGCGTGACCCCTCTCATTACCGGGGGGGTCCCCGAGCAGCTCCCGCCGCCTTTGGGGCCGCCCAGGCTCGGTGAGGTCGGGGGTGGGGCGGCCCCGGTGGCCCCGGGGCGTCCCCTTTGTACTCGGGGCCGGCTGTCAGCGCCGCCCCGCCCCGGGGGGGTCCCGCCGCGCCCCCCCGGCCCCGCCGCTCTCCTCCCGGGGGGGGTCCCGGGGCACAAAGCGGGGGGGGGGCGGCACCGGCC